CACTGGGTGTTATGCACAAACAATGAATCATGGAACACTACATCAAAAACTAATGATGTAATGTATGGTGATTAACATAACAATAAAAAATTTAAAGAAAAAAAGAAATTATTAAGGAGCTAGGGGACGAAACTGTCTATAGAATCCATGTTCATACTCTCAAGGAACTCACAGTCTATGTGAAGAACCTTTAAAGGTAGATCCCACTGCATCTACCTTTTCTGCATCCAATAATCCCTCAACAGCAGAAAGCTCGGTGCTGTGTTTCTGTCATATAACGGGCACTATCTGGAAGATGAACTAACAGTATACATAAAACCAGAATACAACAGCAGAGCAATACATAAATAGGTTTAAGATAAAGTATAAGCGGGCGCCTGGGTGGCTCAGTCAGTTGGGTGTTTGCCTCTGGCTTGGGTCATGATCCCAGGGGGCTAGGATCGAGCTCCACGTCAGGCTCTCTGCTTGGTGGGGAGCCTGCTTCTCCCTCTCCCTCTGCCTGCCTGCCGCTACCGGCTTGTGCTCTCTCTCTGTCAAATAAATAAAATCTTAAAAAATATATATATAAAGTATAAGTGCTAAAGGGTTGGGGTCCTGGGTGGCTCAGTCAGTTAAGCATCTGATTCTTGATTTCAGCTCAGGTCATGATCTCAGGGTCATGAGCTTGAGCCCCTGCTTAAGATTCTCTCTCCCACTCCCTCTGCCCCTGCCCATGTCCCCTCTCTCTCAAATAAGTAAATAAAGTCATAAATGCTAAAGGGTCAAAAATCGAAAGAATAAGAACATTTGAGGAAGATATCTTTAAAGGAAGTGAATTCTGAGCTTGTGATAAACATCCTGCTCTCTAGAAGAGGCAGAAAGATGATGCCACTAACAAGAACATTGTCCCTAAGCTTCAGATGGTGAACGAAGTGTCCTAAAGGCAAACAGACAAAAGCTGGAAGCATTATGAAGAGAAAATAATAACGGTTTCAAATTCAGGAAGATGAAATTTGAAATCCAGTTTTGCCACATACTAGCTGGATGATCTTGTGAAAATTACTTAACTTCTTCAAGCATCCATCTCCTTATCTATAAAAATTAGGTATAAGAACACCTGTTTCGGGGCACCTGGATGGCTTAGTTGGTTCAGCATCTGACTCTTGATTTTGCTCAGGTCATGGTCTCAGGGTCATGGGATCAAGCCCCGAGTCAGGCTCTGCGATCAGTGGGGAGTCTGCTTGAGATTCTCTCTCTCCCTCTGCCTCTCTCCCCACTCCCTAAATAAACAAACAAATAAATAAATAAATAAAATCTTTTTTTTAAAAATAGAACACCTGTTTCATAGGATTATTTTAAGTATTAAATGAAATTATGTATATCAAGTGTTTAGCACAGTACTGAACTCAATCATTTTTACTTTAAATAAGAAATTTGGACTTTTCTACCAGTAACTGAAAGAATATGAGAGACTGGTAAAGTCAGGAGGAGGAAAAAGGGGAGAAAAACAGCAACACAAAAAGAAAGCTGAAGGGGAGCTGTGAAGGCTCCTTGTGCCAGGCCCTTGGTTGGTTAATGCAATATCCATTCCCAAGCCTCTCTCCCTTGTCATCATGTACTTTAAGGGATGGAAAAGCTAAATGGCCACTTTCCCAACCTCCTTTCCACCTGATAAAAGGATGTAAGCAAAAGTATACTGAAGGCTTTTGGTAAAACTTTTGCTTTCTTGATAAAAGGAAAAGATGTGGCTTCCTTTTCCCTCTCCTCCTGCTTTGAACATGAATACACTATTTGGAGCTAGAGCAGCCATTCTGTGCCATGAGGAAAGGCACAGAGAATCATACAGACCTAAACTCTCTGTCACTGAGCCAGAGAAGCAATGCCAGCAGCATCCTACCTCCAGAAGTCTTATGACATGAGAAAAAAAGCCTTTTAACTTGGTTAAGCCACAGTTGCATGGGGTTTCTCTTACTTGTAGCCAAAGTTCTCCAACTGTTACACAATAGAATTTTTTGTCCCCTAATGTCCCAATGTTCTTTTTCCACCTTTTTAGTTTGTTCTTCTCATCAATAGTCACTATTTTAAAAAACCATAAAATCTAAGAAAAAAAAGACACCAGAACTATAGTCTAAGATGAATAACTTCATAACATACTAATAGAAATTTATATTAATGAATAAGTAATTTGCATAAATCAATAACATTCCTAATATTGTATAACTTAAAATGATCTATAATTGATTTATGTAATTTTTAAGGGCTAATAAGAGAAATAATCCCTTAGCATTATTTTAACCTGAATTCTTTTTTTTTTTAAAGATTTTATTTATATTTGAGAGAGAGAGAGAATGAGAGATAGAAAGCACGAGACGGAAGAGGGTCAGAGGGAGAAGCAGACTCCCTGCTAAGCAGGGAGCCCGATGTGGGACTCGATCCAGGGACTCCAGGATCATGACCTGAGCCGAAGGCAGTCGCTTAACCAACTGAGCCACCCAGGCGCCCTGAATTCTTTTTTTTTTAAGATTTTATTTGTTTGAGAGAGAGCTAGTGAGAGAGAGAGAGCACAAGTAGGGTGAGTGGCAGAGGGAGAAGCAGGCTCCCCACGGAGCAGGGAGCCCGATGTGGGGCTCGATCCCAGGACCCCGGGATCATGACCTGAGCTGAAGGCAGACACTTAACTGACAGAGCCACCCAAGCGCCCCTTATTTTTACCTAAATTCTTAATCAGATCATTTAGTATTTTGACAATTTTGAAACCTTTAAAATACAAATGTCATGGAACATAGATTGTAAGATAAAGAAAAAGGTGGAATAAAAAGAGCTAAAGTTTCAAAAGTTCCATTCTAAAAATAGATATATAAGCTAAACGTGAATGATTTACAAAACCATGGGGGTGTTAAAAGAAAAAACCTATTAGATTATTAAATATAAGGTTAAAAATGAGTTCAAGGCACGTAATAAAAAAAGGGGGGATAAAAGTTCTGACACTGGAGTCAGAAAAGGCAACAGTTAGAAAAGATGTACTATATAGTATGGTGACACTACATAGTCAATGATAATATAAAACAATATAGAGATAATAAATGTAGGACATTAATATACACAGAAGCAATAAACCCCTACCAGATTGTAACATGATACTATAATTACACCCAGTGACAAAAATCAGTTACATAAAAAACACTTATAAATCTTGAATTGTCAAACGGATTCCACAATATCTATTATTAACATTATTGAAAGGGCAAAAAATATGCTAACTGAAAGCATAAATCATTTTTTTTACATCATACTTCTTGCTCTATTCATTAAATAGATCTTACAGATTATTGCAAAACAGAGAAAGTATAAATTATTCAGTGCTAAAGGATATAATTAGACTGTAATCTAAATCTAAAACCACTATACAAAACAGTTTTGAGAAATGCTACAACATCTGAAATGCAAATTTAGTGATTATCACATCCTAGCCAACTAAATCCTTTACAGATTCCTTTTTAAGCACGAAGAAAAGTGATTATGGAAATACAGACTGGGCAATCACTTTCCTGTGGATGTGTTGCTTTTAAACCAAGATCTTAAAATAGGTTTGTTGTTCTAAAATAATATTTAAAACTTCTAATATGAATAACAAAATGATACATTGCTTGAAAGAAAAATGGTCTTGAAGTGAGAAGAAATTAACTGGCTCTTGCTTTTCATTGTGCCTTCTTCATTTTTTAACTTACCATCCGAACACTTCTTAGAAGTAACATCGTTCCAGCTATGGCCATTACGGTGCTGATGTTCTTCAGAAAGAGATTAAATGATTAATTCTCACTAGTTATTATTCATAATAGTAAAAGTACTAATTGGAAGGGGAAAAAAAAGAAGACTGGCCTCCCTGAGTGTCCAAATAAGGCACATCCTTCAACTAAAGGCCCATTTCTCCCAACAAACTTTAACTGCCCACCTATTCATTAATCTTCCCTCTTTTCTCCCAATCTGGCATACACAGTAATTATATATGTAACATTGTATTGTTCTCTATTGACTGTTCCTTTTAACCATGAATTCCTTAAATGCATGGATTGGTCTAATACTTCTTGAACAATGCCCACAGTAACTTGCATAACCCTGAGTCTACAGTGGGAATGTAAATATTTGGTAGAAAACTTTACCATCAAAACCTTAAAATATAATGGATGTATATGTGGGTAAACAGTTGGGAGAACTTATGAATGTTTTTAAAGTGCTTCATTTAAACTGGAATAGATTGGGACAGCTCAGGTCCTGATCCCAGGGTTCTGGGATCCAGCCCTAGGTCGGGCTCTCTGCTCAGTGGGGAGTCTGCTTCTCCCTCTCCCTGCTGCTCCCCCTGCTTGTGCTCTCTCTCTGTCAAATAAATAAATAAAATCTTAAAAAAAAAAACTGAAATAGACTTAAAAGAGTTTAATTTAAAAATAAGAACTGCGACTCCCTCAACAAGAGTGATAATCTAACATGCTTTCTTTCAATAAATACAACTAGGTATGTAAGAAATGAAGCTGAAAATATACACAAGGAAAGAAATGAAGATGCTAAGATTGCTCTTAGTGCTCAAGTGAAGCCACTTAGATCCAACTCTGATCTTGCTCTAAACATCAGGCAAACATATAACGAGGCAGTGAAAATTTTATAATTACCAACACATAATGCCTTTTGTTTGTTCTGTGGATTTCCCATTTGTAGGAAAAAGAAAGGAAATATACACAAGGATACATCCTACGATTGGGATATTTGGAATAATGTATCCATGTGCCAATTTGTTTTTTTAAGATTTTTAAAAAATATTTTATTTATTTATTTGATAGAAAGAGAGCACAAGTAGGCAGAGCAGCAGGACCCTGGGATCAAGATCTGAGCAGAAGGTAGACGCTTAACCGACTGAGCCACCTAGGCATCCCTCCATGTAGCAATTTAAACACCGTTTCCTGTCTCAATCTATTGAAGTCATTTTTTTTTAATTTGAAATAACCCATGCACCAATTTCTGCTTCACTGGAAGAACTCAGGCCTTGTCAAATAACACAACAGGCCTTGTCTATCATTCATTAATGCCACCAATGCATATCTAGCCCTTACTAAGTGGTAGGCAATATTCTAGGGATAAGAGCTGTTCTGGTGAAGGAAACAGCATGATCCCGGGCCTTGTGCTGCGCAGCTGCAGAGCATTTGCAAAGCTCATGGTCCTACTCAACTTCTCAGAAGAATTTAACAAAGTTAATCATTCTCTCTGAAAATATTCTCTTCACTTGGCTTCTAGAACACCTGGTTTTCCTGATTTTCCTCCTCCTCCTTCCCTGTTTCTTCCCAGTCTTTGCTGACCTCCTGCTTTTCATTTCCCAAATTCATGTTAAGAGAATCCCTCAGGTCCCAGGTCTCAATTCTAGGACTTCTTCAGTAACTTTTCTGACTTGTTCCATGATGCCATCCAAGCTTTAAATACTATTGGAGCTTTATGCAGTTCGTTCCTAAAGTTCTATGTCCAGTTACAATCTCCCTTCAATGTCAGATTCCTGTACCTGGTTGCCTAGATAACATCTACAGCTCTGTTTGCAATTTTGGTGACCATCTTCAAGTTCACATATCTCCACCTTCAAGTTCCCATGTCCAAAGAGTCCCTCTAGATTTTCCCAACAAATCGCTGACCCCTAACTCCTCCACTGAAGCAACGTTGACCACCGTCCACCCAGTGGGCAGCCCCTTGACTCCTCTTTCTTTGCATCCCACCCCATATCAACCACACCACCCCCGGGGGATCAGCGACAATCTTGTCTCGCCTGGTCACCTAAGATGTCCCACTCTTGGTCGAACTCCAGGGCTCTCTCACTTCATTCAAAACATAAGGCCTACAGGACCACGTGCCCCCCCACCCCCGCCTTGGTCTTCTGTGCCTCGCCGTCCCCAACTGTTCTCGGGGACCGCTGACGCCCCAAGCTGTGCTGTGTCTCAGTCTCTGAGGTGTCCCTGGGACCCACCACGGTCCTGGCAGTAATTAGGCAGAGCTGGCCTCCTTGGCCCGCCGCGCCCATCTCACGCAGCGAGAGCAGCCCGGCCGCACTCCTCCCACCGCCGCCCCTCACTCGCTGACCCCTGCGACAAGGCCCTGCGACAAGGCCCTCCGCCCCGCCCGGGCCCCCGCGGTTCTCCTGCGCGGGGCCTCCCGCAGCCCCTCTCCCTGAGGCTCGCTCCGCGCGGCCCCGCGCCCACCGCCTGCCCGGCCGGCGGGTCTCCGGTACCCGGACGAGGCGCAGGTGGTCGTCCGCCCACTGCGAGACCCGCGCCACCACATTGGGCGCGGCTGCGTCCGGGTCCGGCTGCTGCGAGGCCGGGGCTACAGGCCGCCCCGCCATGTTCTCGACTTCCCGCGAGCCAGCGGCGCGCTCCTCGGGCGGACGACAGGGGGCGCCGCTCTCCTCGGAACGACGGCGCGGATCCGGGCTACCCTGGGGCGCCGCGCGCGGACTGACAGCGGGGTCCCCGTCTCCGCCGCCTGGGAGTGGCCTGACGGCTGGCTATTCCCTCGCTCGTCGCCTGTGGGCGGGACTCGCAACTGAGTTGGAGACGTGCGTCAGTGACCCCGTACCCCAGCATTTATGCAGGGGGTTTCCGTCGCGCTGGACGTCTGTGTGGGGCAGGGACGGGGGCTGAAGGCCTCCCGGCCATCCTGGTGGGGAGGGGAGATGATCAGGACGTGACTTCAGTTAACCCAGCCTTAGTGTGGGTTCCGCATCTGCAATGCAGAAAGGAAATTGAAGTAGTCCATTACTTGCACTTGCTCCCAAATATAACGAGATGCATATTATATTTGAATTGTGCTTTGAAGTCTGCACAGTTGCTTTGTAAGCCTATTACGTGCTCTAAATTGTTAAACTGTTAATTAAATGTAGAAAGCTGACTATATTAGTTTCTAGTATATTAGTAGTAGTATATATTAGTATATTTTTAAACAACATTTAGATGCAGGACAATGTAATGATATGATAACATTAGGGGCGCCTGGGTGGCTCAGTCGCTTAAGCGTCTGCCTTCCGCTCAGGTCATGATCCCAGAGTCCTGGGATCCAGTCCTGCATTGGGCTCCCTATTCAGCAGAGGAATCTGCTTCTCTCTCTCCCTCTGCCACTTTCCCTGCTTGTGCTCTCTCTCTCTCTCTCAAATAAATAAAATCTTAAAAATTTTTTGCATTACTTTCTTCCTGTGACTTGCCTTCATTGAAATAGTTGCATTGGTAATGGCATTAGGAAAGTTCCAAACCACTGATGGGATTCAGGACACACTATCCCAAAAGTGGCACCTTGGCAGAGTGAGTATTTTAAGCTGAAGGAGTCTGAGAAAACAGCAGGGGCAGGAAAGTCATTCCGATCTCCCTCCCTTGCCCTTCTTCCTTGAAACTGGTCACAAAATCCTCCCGAGAGAAGTGCCTTCCCTATGGCTGGAGATCTGTTTCTTCAGGTCTTTATTTCCTTAGGAAAGTTCTCATGTCACATAAAACTTGTATTAAATCAATTTATGTCCTTTTCTGCTGTTACTCTGTCTTTATCAGTTTAATTTTCAGACCCAGCCAGGGACCCAAAGAAGGTAGAGGAAAACTTTTTCCTCCCCACACCACAAAGAAGAGTCAGGAAACCATACCCACCCCAGCTATCCCAGCAGTAGCTGAGCTCCTTAGTGTCTCTGCCATCCCTATTAACGGTGGCTTAAGTAATAATCATTCCGTTGGTGCCATGAATTCTGAAGTGCTGTTGTTTCTTGGCTTCCTGAATCACGTTGTGTCTTTGAAAAGTCACTGTTCAAATCAATGCCATATACAACCATTGGATTTAGGACAAACTGTCCCTGACAACACACGGAGAGACTCAAGTCTCAAAGATGCAAATGTACAGGAGCAAAATAGGTCACCCCAAAACATGGCTCTTTGGCATAAGGATTACCTTGAGCTGATCATTTTTAAGAAACTGCAGATAGAAGTTCTAAAAACCAAGTAAAAGTTACTCTTTTATAAGTACAATTTACATTTATAAGGGACATCTCCTTTTGTAAAGGTGTCTGTGTGTGTGTGTGTGTGTGTGTGTTTGTGTGTACCAGGGAAACTAAATCTGACTCTAAATCTCTAGAAATTTATCAGTGGAGAAGGCATGAATTTAAATCTGCATAACAACCTTACCCTTGTTTACTGGGCTTTTCAGGGTAACTTCTCATAACTGGCCTCCCCATCTCCCAACATCTTCTAGTCTTTAGCTGGAGATGTTATTTAAGGGGATGGCTTAGGCCATTTTGGGGAGTTACTCGGTTTTCCTTGGTATCTCCCAGGTATACAGGAGGTAAACATGTTATTAAATTCTGTTTTTCTTCTGTTAATCTGTCTTTATTACAGGTGTGTCTCAGCCAAGAACCTAGAAGAGTAGAAGGAAATTTATTTTTCCTTCCCCCTACAAACTTCACCTTGGTGAGGAACCAAATGATGCTGGAGAAATCCAGAAGAAGATAAACTCTTAGCACATTATTTGTTTGCCACAGATGTGGCTGTCGTGTGTTTGAAATGTAGCTGGTACAACTGAGGAACTGAATTTTTATTTTTTTAAAGTAAGCTCTAAGCCCATCCTGGGGCTTGAACTCCCAGGCTGTACTGACTGAACCAGCCGGGAGCCTCAGGAACTAAATTTTTAATTTCATTAATTTAGTTAATTTCAATAGTCACATGTGGCTAGTGGCTATGATATTGGACTGTGCAAGTATACCGTTGGAATTTTTTTTTTTTAC